TTGCCACCGACTTGTAGAAAATCATCGTTATGTTTGTTTGAATCAGGTAAACCAGTCACAAGATAGCAATAAACCAAACGAACACGAAGGTAGTATGTGTTGTGATCCTTGTTGTGTGAAAGAGTATAGTAGCAACCCAAAATGTCCTAGATGTCTAGATTTAAACCCAACTGCCTGTTAAGAGTGGAGACACCGTAGACGACTCGGAACAGATTAACAGACACCTGCATAGGGGTAAGCTGAACTTGGTGCAAGAACCGACGCACCAAAAGGTCGAGGGGAAACCGAACCCCTCCCTCAACAATGGCTACGACTAGGAAGGCCACAGTACTCCTAGTGCTCATGTGCTTGGCATTAACCTTTGTCAGCGAAAGGGCCACTTCATCAAGGATATTGTAGTCTCGGCGAAACATGGCCATAGCCTCGGAGTATCAACTAATGATTGAAACTTCCCCATCAAACAGTCCTAATGGTACAAATACGAAACTTAAACTAGGCGGAAAATAAAACCAAACGCCAGAGACAATGGCGCAAGGGCCAAAGAGGGCGATCAAGATAAAAAAAAAAAAAGACAATAAAAGAAGGCTCTCAAGGAAACTTACAGAGATTGGAACAACAATGGCAAGTAGGCGGCACTGAAATGAGAACGACAGCAGAACGTCTAGACAGAGCACCGACGAGACCAACTTAGAGGAACGGAAATGGTTTTAGACTCTTTAGAAATTTTGAAAACAGATGAAAGGATTTGGATTGATGAATCTAGAGCATTTATTGCACCAATCGGCGTGAAGGTACATAAATCACGACCATCAGTATGGAATCGGCGCACTTGTACCACGCCGCCACGTGTCTCCATGAAAGGACACATGCAAGGAGTATGTGTCAGGATCGAACCATCACCAAGGCCGAACTGGGGCAGATCTGAAGCGACGCGACGCTTGGAGTACAGAGTAATAGCTCCCTCCAAGGGGAACCTTAGCACGAGCTAGGGGGCAAATGAAGGGGCTAAATACGAAATGGGTCAGATCCTATCCCTGGGCCGGCCCAATCCATTAGACTCAAGATTTGAGAACCAGGATAAGCAATTGGGCTAGTCAGTTCAGCCCAATCACATTATCAACAATCCATCCAAGTCCTCAAGCACTCGGGCCTAATCTGTGGTAGAAAGGTCAGTCTAGCCACGATGCTGGGCTGGGGCGAGCCGCAGGACCTGACCCTTTGATAGAACCCAAAAGAGGCTAAGCCCATACAAAGATTTCATACTGGGCCAGCCCATCTCCACAAGTAATCCCATAGAGGGCCGAACTGACGCACACAATGCCGAGACGAGGGAACACACCAGAGAAACGTGAAAGCTGTGAGTATTTGCATGTGCAAGTTGCCACATCAGCTGCTCCCTTACACCTAGAATCATGGAAATAGTTAACCAAATGAATGTGGTTTGTTATCAGCATGGCTACAACGAGTATAAACACCCTATGACAACTACCAGATGGTCCTCAACCTTGGGCAGTGCTAAAAGGAAAGTTGGCAGCACCATAGCTCCATGAAACCATCTTGGGTAACAAGCAAGGAGTTATATATAAACAATACTGATTTCACATTGAAGGTAACTGATCTAAACTAAACCCTACTCACTGAAACTTAACTCTCTGCACTTAGAGAGCACCTGGCTTCTTCTCCGATTACTCATTCCCACACCGGAAGGCTCATCCGGCCAATCCCGACTGGGCAGCTCCGACGGTGCTCCTTGTTGCAGGGTCTTAATTCCTGAATAGTTCGATCAAGTGCGGAGCTCCGATCCACAATCATCTAGTGCAGTGTTCAGTACGCACACATATCTTTCGTCAAAATAAAGGATAAGGAAAAAAAATATAAAAAGTGAAGCTTTTGCTATTCATATGCTCTATATTTTATATTAGAACAAGACAAAGCATAAAATATTGACAATAAAAAGTTATGTGTGAATAATAATTCAAAAAGAAAAAGAACATTTCCTATTAATAACCTATCAATCACTAAAATTATTAGGTTCACGCTAGTACCTTGTAATTGCATTTTTTTTCAATTAATGCATTATAAATTCAGATCCGGCTCAAACAATTATTAATTTAATGGGATAGCAAAGATTATTTAGTTATTCTCAAATACAATGTGTTTCGTATGCATCACATGACAATACAAATAATTACAACAAATGACAATACAAATAATTACAATAAGTAATCTTTGATAATTAAAATCACTTTCGGGAAGCGTTTTGGTGACGCTTCTAGTAGTCCGACCACTACATAGAGGGATCCATCTACTAGTCATGAGTGATAGCAAAGCCTTGAGACGCGCAAGGCAAAATCGAAGCGCTTAGCGTGAAACGCTCAGGAAAGGACCAGAGACGGAATGGTAAGCAAATTCCTGTTTTGAATTTACTCCAGGTCGGGAGTGAAATGATGACCTTGGGTACGCTCACAGGAGAGGTTCACAAGTGAGGGGACCACTAATGGAACCGATTGACATGTTATTTGGACCGATAGCCGACTGAAATCAAAATTCATAGGGTCAAAGACTCACATAAGTGTTGGCTACATATTTTGTAAAAGCCAGTTACAGTTCGACACGTGGCAGAGTAAGGGTAATAAAGGAAGGTTATTCGAGCCTTTAATCCTGATCGTACACGTGGCAATAAATATTGGTCCTCACATGATCTGAGTAACACTAGATCAATAACGAAAAGCCAAAAAGCCAACAATAAGTCGGTCTACACGGGTTAATATTCAAATTTCAAACCAAACTTGACTTACAAATTGCATTATCATAAGCTTTAAAACCTAACCAACCGAATGGAAATCAAGATTTATTCCGATCAATCGAATGAATAAATATGTCAATTTCTGAATCAGATACAAAATAAGAGAACAGATTATTAAAACAATAATATTATTATTTAAATATTCAGCAGTAAGTGTTTTTTTTTTTTTTTAATTTTAAGTGATAATTAAGTGATAGTGGATTCCCCTTCAGAAGACTAATAAGACCTGCCAGTGGGAACTTCCAATACGAACTTTCGGTGGTAATTCAGACGCAAACGATTCACAACATTGAAGCCAGCGAGGAGTTCAATCGTAAATCGCAACGTATATGCTGTTATGCCACATAATCTTTTTTCTTTTTCTTTTGTTTTTTTTTTGTTTTTTTACAGTATGAATAAATAAATAAAATGTGAGAAAATAAAAGAAAAGAAAATTAAAAAATATATATTAATTTTTCTCTTTTTTTATTTGATTAAACTATAATAAAAATAAAAATAAAAACCCTTTTATAAATATATATTCCTTTTCTTTTTCTTTTTGTGTTTATCTCTTCTATACTTAAAAGGGCAATTTTTCTATTATAAGAAAGGGTTTGGATTTTTTCAAGTTGATCATCAAATTTAAGAGAACAATTTGGACTCAGTGTGAACCCATTTCGGGACAGTCTTCAAAAATCTGAATCATTTATTTTTAAAGATCTGTTTAATAAAATATTCATGTAAAAAAATAAAATAAAATAAAATGATCGAGTATCGGTATTTATAGGTTTGTATCACATTTCTATGACAAAAATTAGATAGATATTATTGAAATTATATCTATCATCCATTTTTTAAAAACAAATATAATTCAAAAATATAATTATCGATATTTGATTATCATGATTTTTTGCATAAATATTTTACTTAACGAAATTTAAAAAATAAACAGTTCAAGTAATTTAAGTTAGACTCAATATAATTATGTGAATTACAAGAATTACAGAGGGTTAACTATTATGCAAATTAAAATTTTAATAGTATCGAATGTAGTTATGTTAAATCAATAAGATTTATTATATTTCTTTTTAAATCTCAAAATATGTTAGCATAATTTATCTTTAAGTTATAATATAAAATTATAACAAATACTATTAATCAAATATTTTTTTAACAAATAAACTAAATAAATTAATTTATAAATCATACTGAGAAGAATATCTACTCCAACAAAACTCACCAACTGGCCCACTTTCCAGTAATGGATTTGGAGGATGAAATCGAATATTTTGGCCGTAGGATCAACTTCCCTCTAGTTAAGAAATTGCATTTGAGGGTTACGGATTTGTGACAAGCTTTAGTGATTTAAATTATTTATTTTTTAAATATTTTTAGTAAAATATTTATGTAAAAAAATCAAATGAATGGGGCAAATTACATATACCTCCCTTGAGGTTTGGTTAAATTGCAGATACCCCTAAAGATTTGGAAATTACATCCTGCCCCTAAGGTTTGTAGTTTCATAACAATTTGCCCCATGAAGTTTAAATTTCATAACAAATTACCTCCTAATTTGTTATGCAAATATAGCATTTAGGAGAGAATTTATAATTTCTCAAACTTCAGGAAAAATATTTGTAATTTAACTAAATCTCAAGAGAGTATATGTAATTTACCCAAATCTTAAGTTTGAATCCCTCTAACCAATCATCAAATATTGGGCTAGCAATTAATTTCAGCACCGTAACATAAAAATTGATTTGAACAACTAATTATTTGAAAGAAAAAAAAAATTTAACTTCTCAATTCAATTGATAATCAACCGAAGTGGCCCACATGGATGACTTGAGATAACTTCTCAATTCAATTGATAATCAACCGAAGTGGCCCACATGGATGACTTGAGATCTATATATGACGTGGCAGTGTGAATAATTGCTCATCGAATTGGACTGGGAGAAGAAGTCCGAAAATTATACATTATTTCCGGAATAACATAGGTTTATACTTACCACTTATTTATTTTTTTCATTAATTATAATATTATAAAATATTAGGTATTTATATTGCCCCCAAGTCCTTTGGCATTTCAGCAATCCCGCGTCAACCGTGGTAGATTGTGAGACCATAGTAGTACTACTATGACTATAAAGTAAACCTAACCCACAACATACCCTGAAACCATCAAGAACCTTCCTCTTCTTTTCTCTCCAAGTCCCCTCCTCTATAACCCAGAACCTTCCCTCTCATTCCTCCTCAAACACAAACCCCCCCTGTCTCTCCAGTTTCCACAACACAACTTCATTCTCTCTCTCTCTCTGTGAAACATCAAATGGTACTAATGGATAGTAGCAACAACGATATGACGGAACACGAGCCAGCACGGCCTTACACAACAACAGAGGGCTATGCACTAACTGGCAAAGTCATGCTCAGCGCAATTCTAATTCTGTTCGCTGTAGTCATCTTTCTCATCTGCCTCCACATCTACGCCCGCTTCTACCTCCTCCGCTCGCGGCGTCGCCAACTCCGCCGCCGCAACCACCTCATCTTCACCCTCGAACCCAACTCCCTCACCGTCACATCCGCCTCTCGCGGCCTCGACGCCCATATCCTAAGCTCCCTCCCCGTCTTCGTCTACTCCGCCGAGACCCACCCCGAATCGCTAGAATGCGCCGTGTGCTTATCCGAATTCCAAGAGAACGAGAAAGGCCGTCTCTTACCCAAATGCAACCACAGCTTCCACATCGATTGCATCGACATGTGGTTTCACTCCCACTCCACTTGTCCGCTCTGCCGATCTCCGGCCGACCCGCCGCCGGAAAACAAACCCGACGTGGTTGTTTCTGTGGGTGATGATGAACCAGCTGAGATCGAACCCGGTTCGAGTTCTGGGTTCTGCCCCATGTGCAACCACGAAGAAGGTGAGGCCATGGGTTCGTCGTCAACGCCGTTGGGTGATCGCAGGAAGGTAGTGGGAGTGGCGATAGAGGTGCCGAGGAGGACCGAGGAGGAGAACCAGTTAGAACTGAGTTCGCCTGCGAGTCGGGGGTGGAAGTCGCCGGCGACTCGTTTACTGTCGCTGAAGAGGATAATCAGCATGAACAGAAAAAGTTCGGCAGTTTCGCCGTCGTCGATTGTCGGAACGAGTGAGGACATCGAGTGCGGTGGAAGGGATGAGTTAACTCAGCAGCGATCACGGGTTCAGACACCGAGGTGAGATAGATAGATAAGAGAGAAAATATTTGACTATTCAAACCTTTTTACAGTCGCAGTCACTCGACGGCTTGAAACAACGTTGAGTCGTGTTAAAAGTGTAAACATTCTGCCGACTTTGTCTCAGTGAGGATCCCGTGATGCGTACACGTGACAGTTTCTAAAGCAGCCCTTGTCGTAGATTAGTACACGTGGCATGTAACTGGAGAGCGGGTAGTTTGCAAGTTTCTAGCTTTCGTGGGCGGCCAATCATCTCTTTTGCCACGATTGTTGTTTGTCAAGTTGGATGAAGTTGTTAATGGAAAAATAATTAATTAACAGATTGTTAATGAAAATATTGAATAAAAATATATTTATTTTGATAATAGTGTAAAAGATGATTGGTGATAAAATTATTAAATTATTATTATATAAAATAAATAAATAAATGCATTTGATAAAAAATAAAATTAATTAATTTTTTTTATATAAAATAAATTTAATCAGCTCATTATTTTCTTAATCTCATCTAATATTCAACCAAACTAATTTTCTTGAGAGGATTACTAAGTCCTGACGCTGTTAATTCCAAACAAATTGTAGATAAAATTCATAGTCATACCAATCCAATCCCCTAATGCGGGTAAACAAACATGACCCTTCTGTATATAAAGACTATTTTCTATTTCATTTGTTCATTTTCCTATTCATTAATTATTTATTTATTTATTTTTCTTTACACAATTATATGCTTTGTTCATTGTAATGGGCAAACAATATTAATAAAAATTACAAAATATCTCCATTTGTGGGGGGCAAAAACTTGCAAATCAATGGAGATAAATTTTAGTTACTGAAGAGGCAAAATATAAACGGGTCGGATTTAAGTCTTGGGTCGAGCTAATCCATTAAACCCAAGTCCAAGTGAGTCAGATAAATATGTGGGCAAGCTAGTTAAGCCCAATTCCAAGGTCAACAGTCTGCCCAAGTCCTCAAGCACTTGGGCACAACTCGCAGTGGAAAGGTCAGTCCAGCCGTGACGTTGGGCTGGGCCAAGCTGCAGGACACAATCTCTAGATCGAATTGATGGGCTGAACCCATCACCAAAAACCAAAGTGGGTCAAGCCCGCACCAAGATATCTAAATGGGCCAGCCCACCTCTAGAAGTAGTCTTACAAAGGGCTGAGTTGAGGCACGAGCTGAGGAAACCTCTTAGAGAAACGTAGAAGTTGTAAATGTATGCATGTGCAATCTACCACCTCAGTTGATCCCCTCTCCCTATAATCACGGAAATGGTTAATCAAGGAAATGAGGTCTGTCAACTACCAGGTGGTCCCCTACCTTGAGTAACGCTAAAAGAAGCCTGGCAGCACCGAAACTTCATGAAACCATCTTGGGCAACAAGTAAGGAGTTCTATATAAACTACAAAGACTTCACATTGAAGGTAACAAGAAAAGCTAAACCATACTCACTTACACATTACTCTCTACACTTAGAGAGCATATTCTATTTTCTCCGATCGCTGACTTTCATACCAGAGTGGTTATCAGACCAACTCTGGCCGGACAGCTTTAACAGTGCTCATAGTTTTAGGGTCTCAGTTCTTGGATAGTCTAATTGGGTGCAGAACTCTGGTCTACAATTATCTAGTGCGGTATTCAGTACACACAATTGGTGCGGTGAACGTAAACCCTTCATCTCTGAGTTTTGCATTTGATTCCGACGGTCGGAATTGAGGATATCCCACCCTCGACATTGACTCCACAAACGGAGAAGGCGAAATATAAAGGCCTGGCGCTACCGACAGTTCTGGAGGAACAAATCGGAAACAACAACCAGACTCCCTAATCTGTTAAGCATCGACAACCCTTTGCTGGTGGTTCTTCCCACCATTTCTTATTGGAGAAAGATTATAAAGATTGTATCATCGATTCCATGAGAATGGAGATACATGAACTGAAAGCACAGCTCAAAAGGATAATGGGCGAACCAGAAGAGGACCAACGCAGAACCCTGTCGTCTGTGCCAGAAGAGCCCATCCCAGGAGCCACTGGTGAAGAAGGTCCCTAGAAATGAATCTAGGCAGCAAAGTCGGCCAATCCCAGTATAAGGTGAAGCAGCGAGCAACCACACTCGTGGTTCATGCCGGCGAAGGGCTAAGAGGCAGAAAACAGCTAGCCAACAGACAGAGTATCCTCCTTAGGATCTCCGCATTTGGTTGGTCGGCAACAGACAAAATGAGCAACGACGAGATCATCAGGCTCGACACCTTGACCGTATTGTCCATCAGAAAGACCACCGAGCACTGGATCGGCTCGTCTCCTCTCCTTTCTCCCTAGAAAACGAAGCTATGAGATCCCCCCAAGAAGTTCACTCTACCAAAATTCACGTCATACGATGAAAAATCAGACCCACTAACACATATCAGCCATTATAAGCAGATGATGTCCTTGTGGAGCCGAGACGAGGCGCTGATATGCCAAGTCTTTCCATCCAGCCTTGGAGAGTTCGAACTCCAATGATGCGATCGTCTCCCCGCCGGATCAATTTACGATTAGAAGCAGCTCTCTGAAGAGTACTTGGTCAGATTCGTTTCCAACACAAAAATCCTAAAAAAGTTAGATACCTTGTTCGGCCTCCGAAAGGAATAAGAGGAGACACTGCGTAATTATGCTAGAAGGTATTGGGAAGAGTATAATGATTTGGAGGAAAATGTTTGCAGTGAACAGATGGTTGTAATGTCTTTTAAACACAGTCTGCGTCCGGAGAGCAAGTTGAGACAATCACTTACCAAGCGCCCAGCCACAGCACTGAAGGACTTATGTGCCCGGATTGAGCAGTACGCTCGCATTGAAGATGATCAGATTCCCATCAGGGTGGCATATGTTGAACAGACAACTCAGGGGAACAAAAGAAGAGCAGACCGAGGGGAACCTCGAGGACTCATAGTGAATAAAGTAAACAAGTTTAAATCTCATAAAGTAGTTGTTACAGTCTTTAAAGAACCTATCTATTGTATTATGGAAAAAGTCAAGAGAGAGTCATTCTTTACTTGGCTGCCAAAGATGCTAGGAGACCCAGCTCGGCAAAACCAAAAGCTCAGTTACACCTATCATTAAGACATGGGGCATATGACTTAGAATTGCATAGCATTGAAGCAACAACTGGAGGATTTGGTAACTGCTGGGCACCTCCAAGGCTATATTGATCCGGATAAAGTAGTGACCGAACAGGGGAACCCTCTACTAGAATCGAACGTCGAGCATCCACGTCGATTGGTAATCAATGTAATCCATGGCATAACTAGTCATGAGCGCGAAGAGACACTTAAGGAGGAAATTACAAAAGCTATGCAGATTCAGCAAGTCATGTCAGTGGGACCAGCGCCAAAAAAAGAACGAACAATACCTAAGAACCCCTTATGTACTGTTCATTTCCTAAGAATGATTTGGAAGGCATTCAATACCCACATACTGATGCATTGATTATAACTGTGGGGATTGAGAAACGATTTGACGTGAAACGAGTTTGGTAGATCAAGGTTGAACAACAGATATATTGTATTACGACTTGTTCAAGAAGCTCGATCTCTTTGAGCAACAACTCATCCCAGCGGCGATAGGATAGTGTTACCAGTAATGGCTGGGATAAAGACCCTTCAAATAGAATTCCTAGTTATTAACACGCCGTCTCCTTACAATGTCATACTCGGTCAGCCTTGGATTCATCAAATGGAAACAGTCTCCTTAATCTACCACTAGCTCATCCGCTTCTCGACAGAACACGGAGTAAAGCAGATCTCAGGGGACCAAGTCACATCAAAACATTATTTCATGGCAGGCATGGAGGCTAAACAGCTCTGCAATCAAGTCCAGACAGTTGAAGTAGTAGAGCAGCTGGTTCTGGAAGATGTCGGGAGAACCCCAGCTGAGAAGATAATAGACGATCTGGAGAAAGTTTTAGTGAAGGAAGATGACCCGAAAAAATACTTCGTTATCGGTACCTCGCTAGGCATTGATGAGAAACTTTAGCTGCTAGATTTATTGAGGAAAAATATGAGGGTATTCGCATGGTTAGCATATGATACTCCGGAGTGTAATTCAGAATTTGCTTGCCATAAACTCAACGTCAATCATTCTTGTTACCCAAAAAGCAACCTAAAAGGGGGGTGAATTAGGTTTCTACAAATTAAAATTAATAATACCATAATAAAATTAACTACTAGTACAACAAATTATTAACAAGCATAGTGATGAACTTAGTAACAAATAATCAAGCAAAATAACAATCAAGTATAACTAACATACAAGGTAAATAAAATGATTAACACGTGAATATTAGATATCTATAGTAGAAGTAGGAAAGTAAAGATATTAGAGAAGATGAGACAAACAGATTTATAGTGGTTCGACTTCAACCAAGCCTATATCCACTCCTCAAGCTTTAGTTGAGATTTTCCACTATCTTCTAACTTCATAGGGGTGCTAGCAACCTCTTTACAAATGGAGCAATCCTCCACGGATTTTACACAGACTTCACAAGCTTAAACCCTTGCAAATCATAGGTGATTCACAATTACTCTCAAGATTTCAAGAACACAGTGTTTGCAACACTTTTATAAGATGAAATTGTATTTTTTCTTTCAAAGAAAGCTTACAATAAATATCTTTCAAAGATAGATATATAAAATGAAGATTTGATTTTTCTGTAAATCTCACACAAGAAAGATGAGCTTAATGCTATAAGACTCAGTGTATAATTTCTGAAAGAGGATATGAGTGATTATAGATCAAAAAATATTTTCAGATTTTTTTTGTAACTTGTTTACATTAGGGGTCCGTTTGTTTTCAGAGATAGATTCGATAGGATTATTAGTGAGAAGATTATTAGTGAGGAAACTGTTAGTGAAGGGATTGTTGGTGAGGGAAATAGAAAATTTATGTTTGTTTGATAACAAGCGGACTAACAATAATTCATGTTTGTTTTGAGAGATAGGAGTAGGATTAACTAAGTAAAATTCCATAAATACCCTTCTTACACTATTATGAAATTTGAATAATAATTAAAAATAATTTTAATGTTATTATATTAAATTATAATAATTAGAGAATCAAAAGAATTATTTATGATATATTTTAATAAATTATTATATTAAATTATAATAATTTTAATATATTATAATAATTTTATTTTGACATTTATTATGATATATTTTAATATTAAAAATTATGCCTTATAAAAATATTTTTGAGAGATATTATTTTTATAAAACATATTTATGTAATAATTAGAGAATCAAAAGAAAACAAATCCAGCCCATCGTTTTCCAAACTAGTTCATGGTTTTAAACAGTGTGTATTGAACTGCTTTAATTCACTTATTGGTTCATTCATCATCACTTTGCCTACTCTGTTAAAAGAAAAAAAACAGAGCTTCGTTTTGCCTTCATACATCAGCACCGCAATGACGACGATGACGCCGATCTTCACCGTCGACGACGACGCAATGACGCCGATCATCACCGTCAACGATGATGATGACGCCGATCTTCACCGTGAATGCGAGTTTGTTTTTCTTGCAAATTTCAATTTTGTATATCATGTATGTCTTTGATTTGTATCCCTTTTGTCTGATTTAGTCGAAGATTGGAGCATCATCTTCAATTTTACTGATCTAATCTACAATTTGTCTACACTTCTGCTTGATTGGTGAGAAAACCGAATTTGAAAATTATTGATTGTTTTGAGTGTGGTTAAAAATTTGGAGGAGGGATCTATTTTTCTATCTGATGATATGGTGGATAATATGGGCATTTACATTATAATCCTAACGGTTTCTTTTTTCAATACCAAGTCCTATAAGGGATTGTTAATCCATTGGTTTGAGGGGATTCATAGTTTGTTCGGACTATGACTCCAGTGCAACATTGTGCCTGTTTGGTGCAGCTTAAAAGCTGCTTATTTCAGCTTTCAGCTTAATTTAAGCTATTTTGATGTGTTTGATTTAGCTTAACAATGCAGCTTATTTCTTATTCACCCAAAAAAAAAAAAAAAACAATGCAGCTTATAGCTCTTTGTAAGTCAAAAATCAGCTTATTCTTTGAGTGGGGCAGAAGATACTAAATTTATAAGTCAGAAATCAGCTTATGTTCATAGTTATAAGCTATAAGCTGTTAAGGCATAAACTATAAACACTTTCCCACAGCTCTACCAAACAGGACCATTATCAAAACAAACAGAAGGTATGTGCACTGTTCATCATTCACAGTCCACTCCGGACTGTAAAAGAGGAAAACAAACGGGACCTAGAGGCTTTGGTATATATAATAAAAATTATAGTCATTTATAGCCGTTGTATTCATTTGAATTTATAACCGTTTATAGCCGTTGTATTTCCATCATTACCAATTTGAATATCTTCCACTCCATCATTACAAATTTAAATATCTTCACTTGAATCTTTTGGCCTTTTGAACCTTTATAGCCGTTGTACTTCCATCATTACTAATTTGAATATCTTCCACTTGAACCTTTTGAATCTTTTGGCCTGCTGCTGTGCTAGGCAGTTTGAACCTTTGTTTTGGACTGTTTGAACTCTTGATTTAATCAAATATTAAATACATTCTAACAACATTTAAGATAAAGGTTTAGGTGAGAAATAATGGGACAAAATAAATTTTGATTCTATTTTTTTCTTTCAAATAAATTATCAAAATAAATTTTGGATTCTATTTTTCTCTTTCAAATAAATTAAAACATAATTAAATAAATCATCAAAAGAAATAAGTCTAACACTTCCACCCGGCCTATTGTGCAGAAAAGCAGAAGATCTTCAGTTGAACACACCAAAGCAGTAATTGCGGAGGTCGACAAGCTCCTAGCGGCGGGGGCAATCCGAGAAGTTCAATACCCACAATGGCTGTCTAACACAATCGTAGTAAAAAACAAGAACGGAAAATGGAGAGTCTGCATTGACTTTACTTGCCTCAATAAAGCCTGTCCAAAAGACAGTTTTCCTTTGCCTCACACAGACCAATTGATATACTCAACAGCAGGGCATACGCGTATAAGCTTTCTGGACGCTTACAGCGGCTATTACCAGATACCACTGTTCGGCCCAGATCAAGAAAAGACATCATTTATTACTTCGAGAGGCACCTACTGCTATAGAGTAATGACGTTCAGCCTTAAGAATGCCAAAACAACCTACCAACGTATGGTAACTCGAATATTCAAGGAGCAGCATGACCGAACTATGAAAGCCTATATAGATGATATGGTAGTAAAAAGCAAGCTTGCTACAAATCACCACACGGATCTGAGAGAAGTTTTCAATATCTTGAAAACCCATCAGCTTCACTTCAATGCCTCGAAATGCATTTTCGGGTTAGGAACAAGGAAGTTCTTAGGATACTTGGTGACTCGCAGAGGAATTGAGGCAAATCCAGATCAAATCAAAATAATACAAGGAATCAAGATGCCAACTGTAATGACCTTATCACGTAAAATGATTAGCAATTAATTAATTAAGGAGATTTAAATTTTAATTGCCAATTATTCTAATTTAATCTGAGATTTATGAAAATTATGGAGATTGATTCGTATTTGATTCTATTGATGATTTGATTTAGAATTAGAAATTGAAAGCCTAAATAACTCAAAACAGTACAAATGGTGAATTGAATTATTTTAAGTTCGAGTATCGGACCATATGGGAATTCAATTAAATATTCGATTCAGATTTATATAATTGAGATTTGATTAATTGGGTCTGAATTGAAGTTAATTAAGTTATACGGGTTAGAAATTAAGATTATTATGAATTAAATTTATTCATGAGGTGTTCAATTGAATATGTAATTTATTGACAAAGATTTTGAAGTTTAATTTTAAATTGAAGACCTTAATGATCTAAGAAACCAAAATTGAGGATAGAAATAAGTTTAATCTAACATTTTGAGCTTTTTGGAAGTTCGACTAAAAATCTGATTCAGATTCAGATTCAGATTCGTAAAATTAAATATAATTAATTAAACTCTAATGGAAGTCATAATAGACTAATTAAACTATGTGGGATTTGAGATTAGTTATAATTTATTAATTATGTGTTAATCAAGATTTATTAAAACTAAGTGTTATTTAGGTAACTTAATCTTAATCATAAAACTGAATTATGGACTAAATTAGAATTTGGGGTGTAAATGGGTGTGGGTGTATTGAGAAATCTATGTGTGTGTATGAGTGATGTGTTGGAATTCAAAGAAGAGTGCATGTGTGCTTGTGTGGTGTGAAGAGGTGTTGTGTGTGTAAGTGTTATGTGTTGGTGAGTTATAGAGGAGTTGTTTATTTAGTTGTGCTAAGAGCTCATTTTAAAGAGAGAGAGAGAGAGAGACCAACTCTAGAGAGAGTGAGTTCCAAATTTTGAAGAGAATGGGGATCGTAGGAGAAGCTGAAAATTTGGCTAAAACTCTTCAAGCTAAAGACTCTAGGTAATATTTTAGTCCTTAATTCTTGTAAATAATTCATCTAAGGGCTAAATTCATGAAGTTATTTGGATTAATTACATGAAATTTGTTAAGAAATGTCAAGAAGATGATGAATAGTAAACTAAGTTCACATCCATGGTTGTATGTCTCATGTTTCATCATTTTGAACTTGATTTTGAAGATCTTGCATAACATAAGAGTATATATATATATATATATATCTTGTATGTTTTCAAAAAAAAATTATGGCTCACATGTTTAATTTTATATTTTGAAAATCAAGAAGAAATAGAATTGGTTAGATTTTGGTAAGTGTTTTATATATGCATCATGGATTTTGAAGAATTTAAGATGATCCATTTCATGTTTTGAAGAAAAGTTTTGACAACCATGAGTTCACGAAAATATGGATTTTGATTTTGATTTTGATTAGTAACCCAAGCATGTAATGTAATTTAAGAGTCTTATTTAATTTAAACAAATTTTGGTATATATTAAATTAGTTAGTTTTATTTGAATTACACATATTCAATATTTGCTAGGAAATTGGCAAGAAAATGAAGAATTGGAGCTAAGATCAAATTTATGATGTTAAATTAGAAATTAATTATTTGGATTTAATTTGGAAAGTTATTGTTAGAGCAGCTCCAAAGAGCTGGGTAAAATAGGCTTGTTAGGCATTTTAGCCAACCTCAATCCATTTTGGGCCCTCCAACGGGCTGGCCGAAAGGCTAGGTATTTTACCATCACCCTTACCCGCTAGCGCTATTCAAAGAGAGCAAGAAACTCTCCAAATAATACAGCTGTAGTCTTTTCCCGCAAAATCGTTGGGCAACTCCATCTATGCATTTCTCTCATTCATCAAGGTATGTATCATTCTCAATCTATCTCTTCCTCCATGGTTGGCAAAGCCATTTCTCTCCCTTCCTTCCCTCTCCAACTCCCCACATCCCTACCTACAAAACCCTATTTCAGGACCTATCTTCAACCTTTCTTTTTCTCTCTATACAACTCCTTCACTCCATGCCACTTGAACGCATCTTCTGACATCTCCTACATGTGAAATCCTCTTCCCAAACCCCTTTGCTAAACCCCCATTTCCCTCTCTACAACCCCCTTCGACTAGATTGATTTATGAAATCAGAAATATATATAGTCAGACCACAACAGTGATAGCATCTGATGGCTTTAGAAATCCATAGCTTTTGGTCAAAACTGTTTGATGATGATTTGTTCTGCTTTCTAAATACCCAAAATCTATTCGATCTCTGATTTTTTTTTCCAACAAAAGTAACATTTTATTCAATTTAAAAAGACATTGAAAAGGGAAAATATATTCAATTTAGTAGGAGGTGTAGGATTTTATTTATTTATTTTATTATCATGTTTGTTTGATTTGGTTGTTATTTTGGTTCAGCAATGTGTTTGGTCACTTTTTTAATTTGTTCTGGATGTTTGAAAGGTAACTAATAATTTTCATTTCAGTTGATGGATTAGAAAAGTTTATTGTTGTTGGCCAACTATTGTAAAATCTTGATATGTATGTGTAATTTTATCTATAGTGTAATCTTTTTTTGCATAATCTTAATTCCTTTAAAATTATGTTTGTGTAAATAGAGATACTGGTGGAAAAGAGATATGGATGAGCCCAATGAAGCCACTTGGATGACACTAATAATCAACTTGAATGCATTAACAGGGTCATTATTTGATTAGAATGATTCCCTCTCGTGAAGATATTTTAATTTTGAGGTTGTGTTTGATTCATTGAAATAAAGATATAATGGAATGGAATGACCATTTCTTAACCTCCTTAATGGAATAACAATTTTCTTTTGGCTTTTTAATATTGTTGAAGGTGGTTTATTTTGGATGAATGTGATTGATTCAATTTATTTTGGATGAATGTAACTAATTCAATTTAGCTTGTTCTTTTGCTTTTCTTTTTCATCTAGTCTTGTGTTTACATAAATTACTACATTGTAATGTTTTATTTTTGAGTTTTAAGAATTCAAAAAATGTTTATGGTATTAGCTGTAGATGGATCATCAACAAAATGCTTATTACACCAACTTGACAAACAATGGCACCAACTACGAATTTGTAGATCAACCTCTTGACCAAGGGGGGCAATCTCCTGTAATCCCCCCTCAAATAAACAGCACTAAGAAATCACAACGAGGTGACAACTTCACTACAGAAGAAGACGCTATGACATAATTGCTTGGCTTAACATTAGCTTAGATCCAGTGCAAGGAAATAAACAAAAATCAAAGGCATGTTAGCTAAGAGTCTAGGAGTATTTCCACCAGTAAAAAACTTTTTCATCTACTTGTAGTCAAACTTCTCTAATGAATCGTTGGTCAGCGATTCAACTTGCCACGAATAAGTTCTGTGGGTGCTTTGCCCAAATCCGAAAGTTGAATCAAAGTGGTCTTACTGAAAAAGATAATTTATCAATGCCGTTAATTTTTTTATACTTATTATTGTAGTCGTTGTTGGGTTACATGATAATTAATGTTATTTGATCTATTTTCAAATTTGTGATGTGAAGAAATTGTATAAAGAATTGTATAAATCGTCATTTCCATTTGAACATTGTTGGAATGAGTTAAGAGATCAACTAAAATAGTAAAAGAAATATAACCTGAAGAAACAAAAAAACAAACAAAGCAGTGACTCCCGACATTTGTTTTCCTATAATCAATTCAATCGATTTAGGAGACAACGATGCCTCGAATGATAACTACGTAGACTTGGAAAGACCACTGGGTAGGAAGGCTAAAAAGGATCGTCTGAATAAAAAAAAGAGCAAAGATCGTGGAAATGATCAACGAGGGTCGCCTATTATGATATTGTTAGAAGAGTTAAAGGAAAATAAAAACAAAATCAGTGAGAAGAAAATAGAAATGTATGAAAGATCCTATTTGCAAGAGCAAAAAAAGATTGATAATGAAAAAGAAAGAATTCAGAACGAGAAAGAAAAGATGCAAATGGAACAACTAAAGGAGGAAGAGAGGATAATGTCTACAGATACGAGTGGGATCCTTCCATTGTAAGCCGAATATATTCATCGCCGCCAAATGGAAATTCTCCGAAAAGGAATTTAGTTATTTTCGAACTATGTTTTTGACTTAGATTATTGGTGGATTTAATTTGCCCTTGCAAGCATAATTTTGTTTCTATTAGTTTATTTTGGAACTAGTTATCATTTGTTTGAACAATGTTGGAATTGAAATGAATGAATGCTTGAACTACTAGTAGATTAATTACAAAGGTGAATGCTTGTTGAAGTGTTAGTTATTTACAAGTTTCAACTATGCACTCTTTGTATTTTCTATCTCGGTGAGTGTGGTTGAGCTGCGTTAGTGCGCTTTAGTGTGGTATACTTAATTTATTATTCTCTTTAGTATTTTTAAATTAGTAGTGACGTGTAGTCTTCATACTTGGTTCAGGGCACTAGTTGGACTTTCATACTCTATTCGAGAATTATATTATTTTGTTTTCAGGTGAGTAATTGCATGCTACATATTTTTATAAATATTCCCCTACCTTGAATTGTTGAAAAATTAAATTGTTGTTTTAGGACTAAACTGTTTTGATAAAATTATTATATTATCAATGGAATCAAATTATTTCTGAAACATGTGTGAACTTGGCATACTGTAAACTATTTGGTTTGGTCTCATGTTTATAATGGTGAACTACCATGTTTTGCAATACTGATGTGTATTGATTATTGGGACCATCTGTGTATTTTAGTTCAGGGAAATTATTTCACTGTGTGTAGTGACTCTGGCCACTAGGAAACAGATCTAGGTTAGGCCGTGAAGACTCTAGTGCTCAACGATTGTAAGGAAAAGACGTAGGTTAGGCTAGGTGACCTTCAATCGGATCCTCTTAGAGAAAAGGCCCAGGTTGCTACCCTGAGGATGACTCTTAGTTCGGTATTGGATCAACGGGCTTATAGCCTTGAGAATTGTGTGGCATGTTACTTGTTATTTCTTGGTACCCAGAAAATTATTGGTGTTCATGTTGTAATCTGTTTTAAGTGGAAAATGTCATTTATTATGTTCTTGAGAGACATGAGTATTTTAACTGTTGAACCTTCTTTTTGAAACAAATTATCTTTATCAAAAGTGTATACCAATCTAGTTTAAACCCACGAGGGTGCCTTACTTTTATAGCCAACACTAACCTGATCCCTGTAGAAGCCTAGTTTTAATGGACTTTGGCTCAATGCTCATCTTGGACTCCCAGCTAGATAGAAATAAACTCCATAAGAGTTTTATCTTTATCCATAGTAAAGTCCTCTCTAATTCTAGGACTCATGTCCCTTATTCGTTCATCTCGGATTCCGGTATCTCCGCAGATAACCTCGGCCTAACCGAGATCATCATGGCGCATGACCAAGCCACGTGGTACCTCGGCTGACACTTCGGCGTCACCTTAGCCATGTGCTGTCATTTACAAAATATGCCCCCCACAACTACCTCTTAGGTTCTATTACCTCGGCAACCTGAGGTAATGGAACCTATATTGTTTGTTCACATAGCACGTTGGCTAAAACTCACTCTACCCTTCACGATCGAGATCATCACTCATCCGTTGCATATGACCAAGACTCTACAATCTACTTTATCAAGGACCAAGAATCAAGAACCAAGTTCTTCAAGTTCTTTAACCAAGATCTCCCATCTAGCCGAGGTTTTTACTTCATTAAATCAAGAACTCCAAGAGTTTTATCTGCTCGTGAGCTGTCACGCACGATTTACTCAACTGTTTCTGCCACGCGTCGTTCTCCCATTGATTCGTACCTGACACACGCTATCAGATTGCGTCGCTTCTATGCAGACCGCCTGACAGGCATGTCGTCCAAGGCACATTCATTATGATTTTGCTGCCTTTTCGTGTTTTAACAAAAACATTTTCCCTCTCTTCGTCTTTTCACTTCACATCTTTGATTTGGCCTTGAAACTCTCTCTTTAGCAACTCTCTCTCAAAACCGCCATTGTTCAAGTTTTCAAGCTTTGCAGCTTGCTCCGATCACCTCCTCTGGCAAACCATTCACTGTTCTGCTCCACTTGTTATCACCGTCTAACTCTGACGAACCTCAAACTGGCGTCCTCGACCTGGGACCCAATTGGTGAGTTCTTTGTTTTCTTTCAATTTTCAGTTTCAGCCCTTTATGATTTTGAATATATTTTTTCCCATTTGTCCATCACATTGCTATTCAATCTGGTTACACTCTGTTTCTCTCACTTTTTCTTTCTTTTTTTTTTTCTTCAATCATGAATCAATCTCCTAGTTCTTGAATCTTGAATTTGTGTAGTCTTTTGCTGAACTACTTAATTATTTTACAGGGTTAATTTGTGTTCTTTCAATTCTTAATTTTGATAAGCTTCCATTTGTGTCAATGACCTAATATACAATATGCATCAGGTTAGAAGGCGCTAGGGTTAGAACAGCAACAGCAGAGCAGCAATAGCTTTGTGGCAGGGTCTGGTGTGTTTCAATCTAGGCTTTGCTTTGGTGTGGCCTTGGTTTTTGATATGTTGCAGTGTGCCTTGGTGTATTCTGTTAGAATAGCCTTAGGTGGTTGTGATGAGGATTGCTTGAGTAATGGAAAATTCACTTTGGAGTTTTGTGTCACTATGTTTTTGAAAAGATAATAACCTTAGTGCATTGTGGCAGCAACATGCTGCAACAATGTGGGTCTGAGCCTCTTAATTTTTTTCTCCTCTTCTTTTGGCTTGTGTTGGTTCCTCTCCAACCTCTGTAGTTGTGCTTGCTCATGATTGAGCTTTGTGCATTCTCCTCCTTTATCGATGAAATCTCATATGTATTGTATGCTATTATCATTAATAAAGTTTCTTTTTTTGCTTATTAAAAATAAATAAATTATGCACTATATATTTTAACAAAAAATAACTAACTTTATTTTAAAATATTTTAAAAATTATATTATTATAAATGTCACCTCAGCAACTATGTCAACAGTAATATATAATGTTTTTTATTTTAAAATTTGATTAAGTTTGTTTAAATGACTAGTTAAAATAAAGAGTACGATTGGAACACGCAATAGCTAAAGTACTTAGGTAAAATCAAGAGCTTATCTTTTTTGTACTTTAGCTAGTGAAAAATGAAAAGCGTAGTTGGAGTTGCTCTTAAATTAAGCTCCATAAATTACATGCAACAAAAATTTATTGAAGATTTGATCCATACAAAGGAGTTTGGTTCAAATTTATGAAAATTAATTTAGAAATTAATTACTTTGGGTTTGAATTTAATTGTCTTAACGTGAAATTGAGTTTCAATTGTACTTGCATTATGAATTTTTAAGAGTTTTGGAAGATCAATTCATATTTTAGAATTTGTGAATTTGAAATTGGGCTTGATATGAAAAAAATGAATGAAATTTAAATTTGGACAAATATGGAAATAAATTATAATTTATATTTGAGAATCAAAAATTAATTTGATTTTTGATTTAAATTTCATACATTCAAATATTTTTGGAAGGACTTTATAAATTCAACTTTAAGTTTCATTAAACAAAGAAAGAATTGAAAGATGATTTTTAAACATAGAACCCAAGGTTTAAATTTGAATTAAAATTATGGAATTAACTTTAAATATATGAATTGGGAATGTTCTTGCATATTCGAGTGAGTCATACATGAATTTGGAGCCTTGGTAATGTGTTTTTAAGTTTAAACAACATTTTGGAAAATCCAAAATTTGTCATCATCGCTCGAGCGAAGAAGTTGTCGCTCGAACATACAATGCAAACAACTAGTATTTTTGTAGACCAAGGGGTCGGCTAGAGCGACCAATGTTGGCTCGAGCGAAGAGTCATGTTTTAGAAAATTTTGAAAAGCAGTTTCATATTTCAATTTCCATTCTCTTTCACTTCTAAGCATTCTTAGGCAAGAATTATGACTCAACAAAATTAATAAACTACCAATCAACATAAATTACTTGGTTAAAGAATAAGTCATTGACTTAAGTGATAATTGATTAAGAAACCAAGTAAGAAATTGATTTATTTAGAAAAGAATAATTTAATAATGAAAGAATATGTGAAACAAGAACTTGATTCATTTGAATAAAGAAAGAATAAGCGTAGTAGGCATTCAGATTATTTAAACAGAATACAAGAAAAGTCAAGTTTGATCAAGAAATTAATATTGTGTTTCAATGTGTATATGTTATGGGTTTATGTAGGTCACGTGCTATCTTTTGCCTGATCTATCTGATTTGTCTACATTATCTGATCTGCTAGCGGAGCCATCTGTGAATAATAACTCTGTAAAGTTATGTTTAACTTTAATTATTTTCTGATGCTATAAAATGATCAGTTTTCTGAAATTCTATGTTTTGTATGAATGAATGATTGTCCAAATTTCTGAAATGTATTTGTGGCATCCTTAGCACAAGGCCCTTGCCCGGGAGTAATAATACCATGGTCTATAAGTATAAGGCTATTACCCAGGGGTAACAATACCGTGGTCTCATAGCCCTCACCCAGGGGTAATAATACCGTAGTCCCAAGGCCATTTCCCGAGGGTAATAATGTCGTGGCTCAAGTATGTTATAAGTTTCCAAGTACCAGAGGTTCCTTAATAGAACTGACAAGCATGATAACGCTAATGGATATATCATGTATGATTAAGCATGAACTCTGATTTCTATATATGATTTGAATAAGAATATGAATATGAACCTGTTTCTGATTGAAATCAGAATATGCATAAGACTCTATTTCTGATAAGAATATGTTTTTGATGTAAACTCTAATTTCTGACTTTGTGATGGACATCATTCATTAAAACCCTTTACTTTGTTATTATTCACTAGACTCCAACTTACTGTATTACTTATGTATGTAGATGATCAGGTGCGTGACCAGGCTTAGAAGCGTCTGCTTGGAATTTGTTTTTGTCAGCCAACCTATGTGCCTCCCGTGGAGGTTCTGGATATGTCAAGTGGTTATGGGTATGTGTTTAAAGTTTAAGTTTTGTTTTCTTGATTAGTTAAACAAGTTTTTGTTTACTAAATAAATAGGGCGAGGTCCCTTTTTGTCTAACTTATATATATATATGATGTGTAAATGTATGAATGTAAAGTTTAAAATTTTTATGTCTCATATAAGTCTGCACATCTCAATGAATGTTGTATATTTGCTATTTGTTTCCGCTAGCCCCTAATATTATGTTAGTCTGTCTTAAAGTCCTTCGGTAATCCCATGATTAATGGCTGGTTACGATGCTAAACCTATAGGGGGCGGGTTTGGGTTGTGACACCAACAAAGGCCAAGGAACTGTAGAAGCTAGCCGGAATGGCAACAGCCCTAAACTGATTCATCAGCAAGTCGTCAGATCGGATGAAGCCTTTCTTTTAACTATTAAGGAAAAAGTCTACATTTGAATGGGGTCCAAAATATATTGAAGCACTGTAGGACCTCAAGAAATATCTCAGTACACCATATCTCCTTTCCACTCCAGAACCAGGGGAAGAGTTGTACCTATATCTGGCAGTCTCATATCATGTGGTAAGTGCAGTATTGATTCGTGAAGTTGAAAAGGAACAGACACCAATGTACTACATCAGCAAGACTCTCCTAGACGCCGAAACACAGCATCTACCATTGGAAAAGCTGGCTTATGCGCTACTCATCGCCTCAAGGAAGCTGTAACACTACTTCTAGGGTCATACCATCAATGTCCTCACTAAATTCTCCCTTAAATTTGTCTTCAACCGAGCTGATTTCTCGAGCCGAATGACGAAATAGGTAGTAGAGCTTGGTGAGTTTGACATATAGTATCATCCTAGAATAACAATCAAGGCCCAAGTTTTGGCAGATTTTGTCATCGAATTCACCGACGCCTAAAGCATCGAACATCAAAACTCCAACTTGGTACAGGTGCCACAAACCACCGAACTGAATAAACAGAGTGCTTCAGAAGCATGGAAACTCTTCATTGAGGACATCTGGCAACTCTACGTCGACAGATCATCCAATAACTAAAGCTCGGGGGCAGGAGTGGTACTCATATCTCCAAAAGGATTCATATAGGAGCAGGCTCTAAAACTTGAATGGAAGGCCTTTAATAATGAGGCCGAATATGAAGCCCTACTAGCTGGGTTGTGTAGTGTCGAACATTTCAGTGCAGATCAACTACTGGTATTCAGTGATTCTTAGTTGGTTATCAATCAACTCACTGGGGTCAACGAAGCAAGAGATGAAAAAATGGCTACGTATGCAGAAAAGACAAGAGATTTGCTTAAGAAATTCCAATCCATACGAGTGAAACGGATCAGTTGGGACAAAAACAGTCATGTTGATGCCTTCGCCTGTCTTGGCTCGTCAGTGGACACTAAAGATACTAGAAAAGTCGGAGTTGGTGCTAGAACCGAGTATTGTATCTCCAGATCCAGCCCTCTGCACTAACCTGGGACCGAGTTGGATGGATCTAATACTTGTTTTTCTAAGATCGGGCACTCTTCCTGAAGATAAGAAAGAAACCAACAAAATTCGGCATCGATCAGCTCGATTTTGGATTTCACCATTTGGGAAATTGTACCGACGCTCCTACCTTGGCCCTTATTTACTATGTGTGCATCCAAATCTAGTCGAAAATGTTCTCTATGAAATTCATGATGGGATTTGTGGAAGCCACGTTGGCGGAAGGTAACTGGCGCACCGTGTCCTCACTCACGGGTACTGGTGGCCACGGATGCAGCAAGATGCACAGTAATACATTCAGACGTGTGATAAGTGCCAAATGTTTGCTCCACTAATTCATAAGCCAACCAAAAATCTAACTCCACTCACTAGTCCATGGCCTTTTGCTCAGTGGGGTTTAGACATCGTTCGACCTTTAGCACGAGGCACTGGAAACAGACGCTTCTTCATCGCTGCAACCGAATACTTCATCAAGTGGATGAAAGTAGAAGTCCTAGCAAGCATCAAAGAAGTAGACACAAAGCGGTTTGCGATGAAGAATGTTGTGGTCCGTTTGGCATCTCACTAGTCCTGATTGCGGACAATGGAACGCAGTTTGATGGAAAGATTTTCAAGAAGTTTTGTGCCGATCTCAGGATTGAATATTACAACTCTCTCCTGGTTACCCACAAAGCAATGGGCAGGCAGAGTCCTCGAACAAGACCATCACTAACAGGGTAAAAAAGCGGCTTGAAAATGCAAAAGGAAAATGGGTTAAAAAGTTACCCCATGTGTTGTGGACTTACCAAACTACAGCACAACGCTCAATGGGAGAAACACCTTACTCCTTAAGCTACGGAATGGAGGCTGTTATTCCACTTGAAATCGGCCTCCCAACCATCCGGTCAGAATTGTTTGAAGATACAAGTAATGAAGCAGCCATTGCATAGGCACTGGACATGGCAGAAGGCCGAAGAGAAGCAACACTGATCAGACTTGTAGCCTATCAACAACAACTTATCAAGAGTTTCAACCAGAAAGTATTCCCAAGGCAATTCACATATGGCGAATTAGTTTTAAGGAAAGTCATGGATCACAAAAGGGTGCCTGGTGAAGACAAACTAGGACCTAATTGGGAGGGTCCTTACAAGATTACAGTTGTTGCTGGGAATGGAGCGTACTACCTAGAGGATCTTAAGGGCATAGCCATATCTCGGCCCTGGAATGTAGCAAACCTCAAGTACTATCAATAAAATTGCCTCCAACTTATCTCTCAAAGTGTAAAGACATTTATCTTTTGATTAATACAAATGTCTCCCTACTTTGAATTTTTTTTTTTTCTTTTGTATTCAATATATGAACAGCTTCATTACAAGAGTTTTCGGATTTAACTTTAGTGTTTACCAAACGGATTTAACTTTGGTGTTTATCAAACAGAATTAGCTTTGATGTTTATCAAACGGAATTAGTTTTGATGTTTATCAAACGGATTTAGCTTTGGTTTTACCCAAACGGACCTAGTTTTGGAGCGAGCGAACGAAATTTAGTTTTAGTTAGCGCTCAAACATGCCATCTGGAATTGCTTGGTGAAATTATGTTTGGCAACTAAAACAGACCTTAGCCAAGTGGAATTGCTTGGTGGAAACCGCACTAACGTATTTTTCAAATAATCATTTTTTTAAATGGACTTTAACCAAGTGGAATTGCTTGGTGAAATCGCTTCAATACTACTGCATGCACCCAGAGTTGGATCATTCTTTCAGCACCAAACTTCCAGCATCAGCCTTATTTAACTCTAGGTGAGGGCAACCAATTGTTTCTCAAAGACCAAACCTGGACCTGAATAAGACTTCAAGAGTTGGAACAGACTCAAACAGTTCTGCCACAAAGAACAGATCTTCAGTACCAATCTTACTTAGCTCCAGGTGGGGGCAAACGATTGTTTTCTTGGAATCAACCTAGACCTATGTAAGACACTCTCATTGCAAGTCAAGCACAACCCTGCAGCATGTCAAATAAACCAGACTGAGCATTTATTCGACCCTTCAGTCCCAACAATGCTTGGCCAGGGGCAAACAGCATAAATAACATAAACATTAAACAGCCGATTGCAAGGTCTAAAAGACGAATTTCATCATCCAACAAAAGACACAACTGGCCACAACAAAAAAAGTAAAAAAAGAAAAATTGTCTTAGCATGCATCAGGGGGCAACTCGTCAGGAAGACCGAGCTCCAGTACATCAAGAAAACGAGAAGGAAAGGAAAAATGTGTAAAATAAACTTCAAGTCTTTTCAGATGAAAACCACTCTAACTCTCATCAGTAGGAGGAACTTCAGGGACAACATTCATAGTTTGGTTCACATCATCTTGGGAAGGAAAAGTAAAGGTAGCTCCAGCTTCCTGAGAAGCAGAAAACTCCTTAACCACGTTTCCCACAACTTCAGTCTCTAGGTTTTCATCCCTTTCAGCATCCACTGTTTCATTAACAACACCACTTTCCGGAATCTTACTTGCAGCATCAGTCTCTGAAGGAATCTTTGTAAAGGAGTAACAGGGGTAGTATTGGTCTTCAAACTCGAGGACTTCGAGGGAACAAGAACATTCTAAAACAAGGAGGATTCTTCAGGAATCTAAGCAACAGCAAGGTTACTCGTCCAGTCTTTAAGAAAAAACTTGTCGCGCAGCATCAACACTTTTTCTTTATAAGCGGCTTCAGCTTCGTCCCAGCCCTGCTGCTAGTGCTTAGCCTTCAAAGTCAAACATTTAGCGGCTATAACTACTATAATCGTCTCCAGTTCAGCAACCTTGCTCTCAAGTTAGGCCTGAACCCTAATAGCAGCCTCTTTTGATTTTTCAGCAAAGGCGACAACCTTGTTCAGGCGATTCCCTTTCTGCCTTCCTTTTCGACCTCCAAATTTGCCGTCAGCCTTTCGACATCCATAGCGGCCTCCAATACGACCCTCTCCAATTCTTTAACTTGGGTGATGGACAGATGCATCATTTGGTTACACTACAACAGATAACAAGGTATTAAAAGAAAGCAAATGGCACAGACCAGCAAAGAACACCAAAAGGAGTACAGAATCACTTACAGCAACCATCATTTGAAGGGTTCCCTTCAGGATCAGAATATCACGAGGCCCATTGTGACCCCACATGTCTACTGACATCGACAAAGTCTTGGTTAGGTCAAAAGCAAAGTCTCCAGAAGCAACAACCGAATCAGAAATAGAAATAAGTCTGCCTTGATGCAACATAGGCGGCTCTCACTTCTCAAATGACTCATCCTCAACAGGATCCTTAGAAGCTTCTCCAATTATGGCCTTACCAGTCTCCCTTCTTCTCTTCTTCACCATTTCAGTGATTGAAGTAGAGAGTTTGGTAGCAACGGCAGAAAGGCCGGAAGCCCCTATCTCCAGTTTTACGTCCATAAGGCTCTTTTGTTCGGCCTTGACTAAAAAAGCCTCCAGAGCGTCAGAAGAACCAAAAACCCCAGCTTCTAGATCCACCAGCACTCTCCTTTTCGACATTGACCCACCCCTGTGAAACTAGGGACATGAGAAGGTGTCCTCTAAAAAAGCAAGCTTTGGCCGCGATAGCGGTTTGCGACTAGAGGGACAAGAGGTGTGTCAGTTTCAGTATCGAAATCAAAAAAAGATGCAGCAAGCCTTGTTTTTTTTCTGGATTGTGGTACAGTTGGTTGCCTGGTAGTCTAGCAGCTCAGGCGTAAACCTCTTTTTGTACTTCAAAACGGCCTTGATCGCCTCAGCATTCTCTCGGTTCGGCCTGCGTTGGAAACGAGAAGCCTCTGCAGAGATGAGGAACAACGTTAGCACGACATTCAAAATAAGACAAAAGTACAAAAATAATAAGGCACAGGACTCAGACCTGGGTAGCCATCTTTTTGGAGCATCCATTCAGATTGGAACTAGGTCCCAACAAGAAACTCCTAGTTACCACCAACTTACAAGAAATCATCATTGTGTTTGTCGAAATTAGGTATCGGTGACAATGTGACAGTCAGCCGAACGAACACAGAGATAATAGGTGCTATGATCTTTATTGTGTGAAAGAGTATAACAACCCAAAATGTCCCAAATGTCCAGGTTCAAACCCAATCACCTGTTAAGGGTAGAGACACCATAGGCAACTCGGAACAAGTTTACGGACACCTGCATTAGGATAAGTTGAACTTGGTGCAAGAAACAACGTACTAATTGATCAAGGGGAAACCAAATCCCTCCTTCAATAATGGCAACGCCAAGAAAAGCAACAGTGTTTCTGCTACCCATGCGCTTGGCGTCAACTTTCGCTAGCGAAAGGGTCCCATTATCAGGGATACCATAGTCATGGCGAAACAAGGCCATTGCCTGAAGAGTATCCACCAACGCTCGAAGTTTTCCCATTATCTAGACCTAGTAGGGCAAGAACAAAACTCAACTAAGCAAGAAATAGAGCCAGTCGTAGGAAACAGTGGCGCGAGGGCCAAAAAAGGCGATTAGGGCAGAAAAATGAAAGAAGAGATAGGTTTCAAATGAACTTACAGAGATTCAACGAAGGAACATCAACGAAAGGAGGTCCTTGAGATTGGAACAAGAATGGCAACAGTTATGGCAGCAAGAGTCTAGGCGAAACACCGTCGGAACCAAAGTAAAAGAATGAAAGGGTTTTTGGGGTTTCCTGAAACTCAGAGATAGACAAAGGGGTTTGAATTGACACCCCTAGGGCATTTATTACCCTCAACTGGTGGGAAGGTACAAAATCATGTCCCTCTGTATGGATTCGGCGCACTACCTCTGCACACCAATTCAGCGCCGCTATGTGTCATCATGATAGAACACATGCAGAGTGCATATATCAAGATCGAACCGTCATCAAGGCTGAACTGGGACAGATCCGAAACAACACAACACTTGGGTGCTGGACAGTAGCTCCACCTAAAGGGAACCTTAACTCGAGCTAGGGGCAAATGAATGGACAAAATATAAACGGGTCGGATCCAAGCATTGGGTTTGCTCAATCCATTAAACCCAAGTCCATGTGGGTCAGATAAATATGTGGGCAAGCTAGTTAAGCCCAATTCCATGATCAACAGCCCGCCCAAGTCCTCATGCACTTGGCCTCGACTCGCAATGGAAAGGTCAGTCTAGCCGTAATGCTGGGCTAGGCTGAGCTACAGGACACAATCTCTAGATCGAACTAATGGCCTGAACCCATCACCAAAAACCAAAGTGGGCCGAGCCCACATAAAGATATCTAAATGGGGCAGCCCATTTCTATAAGCAGTCTCACAAAGGGCCAAGCCAAGGCACAACGGTACTGAACTAAAAGAACCTCTCAAAGAAACGTGGAAGTTGTGAATGCATACATGTACAGGCTGTCACCTCAGCTGGTCCCCTCTCCTTATAATCACAGAAATGGTTGATCAATGGAATAAAGTTTGTTATCAGCATGGTTACGAGTATATGCACCCAATGTCAACTACCAGATGGTCCCCTACCATGAGCAATGCTAAAAAAAACCTGGCAACACCGAAGCTTCATGAAACCATCTTAGGCAACAAGTAAAGAGTTCTATATAAACTACAAGGACTTCACATTGAAGGTAACAAGAAAAACTGAACCATAATCACTTAAACACAACTATTTACACTTAGAGAGCATATTTCATTTTCTCCGATCGCTGACTCCCACACCAGAGGGGTTATCCGGCCAACTCCGACCGGGCAACTCTAACAATATTCATTATTACAAGGTCTCAATTTCTGGATAGTCCAATCGGGTGTGGAACTCCGGTTCACAATCATCTAGTGCAGTATTCGATACGCACAGTTATAATAAAAATGAAAAGAACAAAAATAATTATAAAGTGGTGAAAATCACCTTCAAATTATCAAAATGCCATTTTCATTATTTCCCTTTCTCTTTTGCCTTTCTCTCATTTTTTTTTTTCTTTTTATTCCTTCTCTGTCTCCGCTTCTCATACACATATCTATTGAATGTGTTAGGTAGAAGTCTTTTCAAAGTGAGTCCTTTGATTTTTGAGATTAAAATTTTTGAGATAATTAAAAATGGTTATGAGAGAATTATGACATATAAAGGTGTCGTTTGGGAAGAGCTCATTTGGACTCTTTTGACTCTTTGAGCCACAAAAAACAAAATAGGCTATTTGAGCCACAACAGACAAAACATCACATCCAACCCATAATCATTACACTCTTCTCTCACAAAAAAAGTTAAAAAAGCCAAAAAGTCAAAAAGTCATTCCCAAACCAAGCTTTTGAGCCCAGACTCAAATAGTTAAAAAAGTCAAAAAGTCAAAAAGTCAACCCACTTTCCAAACGAAGGCAAAGTGTCATATGTTATCCTAAAAATAGAATTTATAAATTGAGAGTGAAGAATAAATAAATTAATTAATTAAAACTAACTCGTTGAACCTGTAATATATGCGTATATTTAAAAAATTTGGGGCATTTTTCCCAATTAGTGTATAGCACTATGTTGTGTAAGGTCGTGACTCATATTCCATATCGATATTGCTATTATCTATTTGATTTTATTTTTATTTTTTTTAAGAGAAATTGAGAGAGACAGGGTGAACAAAATAATACTAATATCTATTTAAAATTAACAGAATCCACAACCTTAAATGAATTAATATACTTTTTGGTTATGTACCAATCGTAAGCTATGATTTGGTCACATACTAACAAAATCAATTTTCTCAAAATTAGCACTCCTTTGGCATAATAGGTTGGGGTCAATTTAGGTTAAAATAATTAAAAAATAATAATAATAATAATAATAATAATAATAAAATAAAAATATATTAAAAAAATTTTAGTCTAATAAAATAAAATATTATATTTAAATCATAATCATTTCATTTTTTCTTTTATAAAAATTAAAAAAAAAATCAAAAAATTCATTACTTCAAACCTCAAATTAAAATAACTAACAAACCAACGCACATCCAAACCAACCGTCAATAATTTGAGAAACTCAAAATTTGTCAAAATTTGGGACAAAGGGGGTGGGCTTGTTGGCCTCAAAGGCCAGCAGGATTCAATAATACGTAGAACTTTATGTCAATTTTAAATAATTTGTAGTCAAAATTTACCAAAAAAAAAAAAAATTTGGGTAAGTGAACATCAAATCAATGTAGTAGCTAAAAACCGAACCTGTTCTGTTCTGCGAGCGAAATGAACTCCGAGGCATGCAGAAGAATAACCAGTGAGTGAATGGAGCCCTGAATCAGCAAAGCATCTACAAACACCCAACAAAAAAGAAAAATCACACTTAAAAACTGTAAAGAGATTTACAGAGTCCGATATACGAACCCTCGGAGAGATTGGCGACCTCGCCGGAGTAAATCTCCAGTAGGTATTTGGAGAGATCGACAGCCCAATTGAACGCGAATAGTTCATGAAGTGGCTGCAGTGTGTGGAATCGGCTCCATCGCCGTTTTATCTTCCGTCAAATCGAACCCCATTCCGGTGCTACTCTCGTGTTTCATTTCAAATCCTAGTTCTACAATTCGAAGCGAGAAATCAAAAACCCTAGAAATCGGCTTGGAGTTTTTAATGTAAACCAGAGAGAGATTTGGAAATTTTGGAGAGAGAGAGGGAAGTTCGGATGCCCTTTTTGGCGGTCAGAAAATGATGATGTGGTTTTTCTTTGAGAGAAGGTGAAAGCTTTCGTTGGGTTGGGCCTGTGGTGGGTTGGACAACCTAAATGGAAGCTTAGAGAGCCAGCAGGCCCATATAGAAGTTTTTTTAGGTTCTGTTTGGAATTAAAATTTGTACAAGGAATTATCATCATTATATCCGCATTTCAAAATTATACATATCTATATCTATATCAGTATATTTTATTTTTTCTTCATGAGAGGGTGCCAATGCCATATTTATAATTTATTGAGTCAATTAGTTATTAGTTTAAAATTGGTATTTTATAATGATATTAATTTTCACACACAATATCATATTAAATTTGTAATATCATTTAACTAAAATAATGACTATTAATTTTTATATTTTTTAATATTAAGTTTATGAGAAAAACGATAAAATAAATGAAATACCTTATTAAATCAAACTCGAGAATTTTTTATTAAAAAAATAAAAAATCTAATACAACTTTTTTTGAACTTGAAATTTTTTTTTTTATTGGAGAATTTGAAAATTTAATTACTTATTCCAAAAATACCTATTAAAAATAAACACCCAATAACATGTCGAAGCATCAATTATCAAAACAACCGATCAAATAACCAAGATCTGGCAAAACAAACGCAGACCCAGATGAAATATGACAATAAATCATATTTAGTGTGTTTGGTTTTTAAGTTTTTTGAAAATTGAGTTTTTTAGTTTTCGTGTTTTTTTGTTTATAGTGAATATTTTTAAAATTTTAAACATTTTTTTTTACTTTTTTAGATGCACCTTACTTAGATGTATCTAAAAAGTAAAAAATTTGTGAAAAATATTTTAAAAAATTAATAAATACATAAAAATATAAAAAATGTACTGAATTCTTATATTTTTTATATTTTTTATATTTTGTGAATTTTTAAAAGATTTTTTTTACAATTTTTTTACTTTTTAGGTGTATGTATGTTAGGTGTGTCTTAAAAATAAAAAAAATGCTTAAAATATTAAAAAAATTCAGTAAACACAAAAGAACACGGAAAATAAGAAAATAGAAATTTCTGAAAAGTGTTTTCTAAAAAATGAAACCAAGCATGTTGATTATTTTTTTTGTTGTGAGAATTTATTTTGAGCAATGCTGTAGATAAATAATTCTTACTCCATTGAGCATTATTTTTCTGATTTAAAAATTAGACCCACTTTTTAAATTCAATGATGTGTCAAGAAAATAATTAGTTGATAATTAAATATTTTTTAATTTTTAACCAATTATTTTATTGACATATCACTGAATTTAAAAAATGAGTCTAAAAAATCAACTTCTATATTATTTTCCTACTCGATTTGTTTATCACTATACACAAAGATAGTGATCCAATATTTATATTGACTGATAAAAAACCGAGTAAAAAACATGTTTATATAGTCATGTATAGTATGTTTTCATTAATCATGGACAGAAAGTTTTTATATAAACCATTATAAAACAATCTCTTCCATATATTGCCATGAATGAGTAACAATGTGAGATATTCTTCGCCGATTACAAAATGACTATGATCATCATCAGACATGTTTTCCTGATCATCTCTATGAACAACCAAACCAAATCAAACAATAAACCAAAACCCAATACAAAAAGACAATAAAGCCCCTCCCAACTCCACTCTCACTCAAATCCTTCAAGGATTATATGGAACCCCAGCAGTTCTAATCCATGTATTCCCATCAATGAACTTGCTGGGATTGAAACTTGCAGCCGCCTGAGGAGAAATCTTCTGCATGCCTCTCCACTTAACTCTCTGTGTCTGCACTGATCCTGGCCCTCTGTTGTTGTACTCAGCATACCAAAGAGTGTCCAAATGGATGGTTCCAGCCCATGGGGCCCAGCCAGTGGGGTCAATCACACCGTCGATCTGAGAGTTCATGATCACGGTCCTTGAGAATGGCTTCCATGGGCGTCCAAGGTATGACTTGAACTTGCCTTTTACGGCCATGTAAGCGGGCTCGGCAGTCACGACGGAGTTCTGGATGACGATACCGGTGGCACCGCGCTTGTCGGTACGGCCTTGGGCGGTGACCATGCAGCTCTGGTTGTCAAGGGGCTTGCGGATGATGAACTTACAGTTCTGGAAGACGACGGCGGAGTCACCGAACACGAAGTCGACTGTGCCGGAGATGGAGCAGTCGCGGTAGAACTGACGGTGGGTGTGGGCGTAAAGGGTATCTTGGTAACCGTCGATTTGGCAATTGAAGATAATCGCTCTGTCTGATGAGACGCGAAGTGCCACGGCTTGGTGCATGTCTCCTCCTGCGCTGTTCTCGATTGCGAGGTTCTTTGCCATGAAGTGCTCTCCATCAGCGGCTGTCATTGTGAAAAAAATTAGATATAAACTAACAAAAAACAAAAACTAATCACATAATCGAACACAGATTGATAGAGTGAGGGGAGATATCACTTACAGACTGTGGCGGTTCTGTATGTATTGTAGCCACCAACAAAGCTCCGGCTTCCGGTGATCTTGGTCTTGGTGGGTCCATCTCCGATCAAGAAAACATTGCTCATTTGCTTGGTGATACTAACATACTCCTTATAAACACCAGCTTTAATGTAGATGACAAATGGTGTTTTGTTTTTCTTGGGCACCATTTTAAGTGCATCAGTAATAGTCTTGTACTTTCCAGACCCATCCTTAGCAACCACTGCATTAGGCTTCACATTCCCTGTCTGAAGCAGTCTCCTCTTGCCATCGCTGACCCATGATGGGAACCCATCTTCGGATAGCAACCTCCTGCTGGTGGTGCTCGGGAGACCGGATGACCCAAGCATCGTAGAAAGCTCGGTGACAATGGCGAGACCATTGCTCGTGAGCTCGCCGGAGAGCTTCAAAAGCTTCTGCATCTGAGCACCGATATCTCCAGTGGTGTTATCGAACCCGTCGATGCAAGTCTGCTGGTAAGTGATGGCACCGGAGAGCCATGTCTTGAGATCGGACATGTACTCGTCCATTTTCGTCACATCGAAGGACCCCAACTTATCGAAGGAGTTCTGGAGATCGTTAATTGAGAAATCCAGAAGCTCCTTGCAATTCTCCAGAGCGTCCTGGGCCCGGGGCTCCTTTGCGGCTTTCTGTAGAAGGCTGGAGTTCTGGATTGCCGCGCTGATCTCCTTGACGGCAACATTAAATGCCGTCTTGATCAGCTCTTTCGGGTCGCTGGTGTTTCCAGCGGACTCGGAAAGGCTCTTCACGCAGGCCTCTTTGTAATCGGTGGGTTGGCATATTTGTTGGACGGCCTTGGTGGAGGTTGAGATTTCACCGCCTTCGGAGCTGCTTGAGGAGTTGTTGCGGCTGACACTGACGGTCACGGCAACCACCATAGCAACCAGGAGGATGGAGGAGATACCAATAATGGCTGCCTTCTTAGCCATTTTTTAAAATCAGTAAGAACAGAGCTGTTGGGGCTTTATTATTATTGTTTTGAAAAGAGAGAGATTGTTGTGCCCCTTGGCTCTGGCTTGGAAGATTGAGAAGCAATGAGGGTTTATATAGGGTGGGAGAGGAGAGAGATTGGGATGAGAATGAAGAAACAATGAGAGGGGATTGGGTAGGTGTGAGGTTGAGAGTGAAGAGCTCAGGGGAGTTTTCCAAATTTAGGAGTGTCATAAGCTAAAATAGTTGGGGGTATCTAAATTTAGCCCTAGAATCATGCATGGGTTTTGGAATTGGCCATCTGTTGCATGCAAAAGTTTTAACCTTTCTAATTTTTAGGATGGATATGACTGGTTCTTAATTTGTTCATATGCATGACACCTGGCATTGAGCAAAATGGTGTGAGAAATTGTCTAATTGATTTACTGAGAATATCACATGATTATGTGTTTATTGAATAATAGAGGCGCATGATTATTTTTCAATAAATATATAAATAAAATGGCTAGATAATCATTTGTTATTGAACAAATATACAGTCACATTAAAATTTTGAATTTCTCTTAAACTAGCACCCTAGTTAAGAAAATGCAGTTTTCACATGTGTCTCCAATATTTTTTATATATTAAAAAAATTGTTTTTATTTTCAATCTCTTTTTGGTGTTATGGCTTGTAGTGATCTGATTTTCAAAGAAGAGTTTTATAGAGAAGGAATGTGCTACAAAAATGTTTGGTAATATTTGATTGCTGCTGCTTAAGAATGCTTATGTGTTTGTGTTTGTAGCATATATTACCATTGCTAGAATATGGAAACTTGTTAAAGGAGGAGATGAACTCAGAGAGAGTATGGTAATGGTAGTTCATGTTGAATTGTTCATCACATAAAATTGTATTTCCAACTCAAGCCAACAAACTGAAATCTAAACCAGCAGAGTAACATTTATCACTAAATTCATTCAAGTTAATTGGATTCAACTATTTCATCTTATTGTTGAATTCATACTATAGTAGCATTTCACTCTGTTATAAGTACATTACTTGTACAACTACATCAGACAATTTTAATGGAACCACATAAGATTCAACTACATCACCGTCTGTGGGAATATTTTTGCAGACACAACCTTGTCCTCCGAGCTCATCTGATCACCTTCCATGGCGAACAACGACGAAATACTGTTGTCCGCCATTGACGGTGTTACCCTGGAGTCAACCAGACGGAGAGACGGACTCCCCGCTGTTCCGAATATGGCGGACCTAGAAACTTCCCCAGGAGGACTTCCGAGAGATGAACGAGATAAGCACGCCAGAAGTTTTGATCGCTCACGAAGCCCAGACGGACACTGGCAGCAAAGAGAATCGCATGCTCGACGTCTGGAGCACAAGTTAAGGGACCAAGACACCGTTATCCAAAGAATGGCAGCAGAGATGGAAGCTCTCAAACGCCAGGTCAAAGAGAAGGGTGTTGCTGGAGTGGGAGACCACAGTGAGCACACCCAACCCCGCCGTTCAGGCAGCCAGAGCCAGTGGCGCACTCCCTCCCTTTCTATCACCAGAAGCTATAGAGGTGGAGACCTAGACACGCTTGCAGAGAAGTCTAGCGCGCAAGATAGTACCTACCATCCCTTACATCCGTCGACCACTTCGGGATATTCTTACTCCGTCCGTTCAGAGGACTTGAGGGATGTCCTGAAGGAGCAAGCTCGCCGACGGGAGACTGAAAGGGTGTGCCAGCGTTCCAGCGGTTATCTTACGGAGGTCACCATAGTGAAGAGGTTATGATGCCGTCGCCCCGTTTGACCGTACCAGTTCCTTTGGACACCGACTTGGCGAGGCTGAACGCCTCTCCCTTCTCCCTTGAAATAGAGACCATGCCGCTCTCAGCAGACTTTCACCAGCCCAAGTTTACACTTTATGACGGAAAAAGCGATCCGTACATGCATGTGAGCCACTTCCGGCAGGTCATGGCCGAACACTGGCGTAATGATGCTCTTATGTGCCTTATTTTCCCATCCAGCTTGGGCGAACTAGGCTTGAAATGGTTTGAGAGACTCCCAGAAGAGAGCATTGAGAGGTGGCAGCAGTTGGCGAAAGCATTCGTGACTCGTTTCAAAACCAACACCAAAACGCCAAAGCAAGTGGGCCACATTCTAAGTGTCAAGATGGAGTCGAGTGACACCCTCAAGGCATACAACTCTAGGTATTGGGAAACCTTCAATGAGATCCTAAATTGCCCGATCAACCTGACAATCACCCAATATAAGCACGGTCTCCGAGTCGGGCATAGGCTCAGGGACTCGCTTACAATGAACCAGCCGACGTCGATGGGGCAACTAATGTAGCGCATCAATGAGCACCTCCGAGTAGAGGATGATGCGGCGGCATCCACCGTGAAGACAAATCCGGTGGTAACAGACAAAAGGGCAGCTGGCAAGGTACACGCGGTCGAACAGGAGACTAGCCGTCCAAATGATCGCGCTGGGGAATCTGACCGTGGACCAAATCATCGAAACCGAGGTAGAGGTCACCGTAATGACCGAACAGAATATCCCCGCAATGACGCTGCTGATGCTAATAGAAGACTAAACGCCCGGACGGGCATCACCACGGTATTTAAGATTCCAATCTATCATATACTTAGTGAAATCCGTGACGAGGATTACGTCCGGTTTCCTGCTAAGTTAGGCGATGCGCAAAAGGGCTTCAATCCGCGGTACCGCTGCACATATCATAGGGAGCATGGCCACGGGACAGAGGACTGTTTGCCTTTGAAGCAACACTTGGAGGAGTTAGTCGCCGCCGGTCACTTAGACCTTTACATTGATGGAGGCGTCAAAGCTGCACATCCTATCCCGGCTGATCCAAATGGTTTGGATGACTTAGAGGCGCCCCCTCAAGGAGTGGTCAATGTGATCCACGGCATAGTGGAGCCGGCGTGTGTATGCGAGCTCCGAGAAATGATCAAAAAGGCGGAACATATGAAGGAAGTTTTGTCAGTCCAGCCCACGATCAAAAAGGGAAAGACCGAGGAGAAAGATGTGATTAGTTTCTTAACTAGGGACCTAGAGCACATTCAAATGCCACACAACGACGCCCTAGTGGTCACCCTCTGTGTTAGAGACTTCGATGTCAAGCGCATCTTGATTGACCAAGGAAGCTCGGTTGAGATTATGTACTACGATGCGTTCAAGCAACTCAAACTCCGAGATACAGACTTGACTCTGGCAACTTTGCCACTAGTTGGTTTCAACTCGTAATCGGAGTGGCGTATGGGAAAGATAATTTTACCGGTCAAAGCCAGATCCGTGGTCAAGCAGGTGGAGTTTTGGGTATTGAAGGTGCCGTCCACATACAATCTGATCCTCGGTAGGGGATGGCTTCACACTATGCAGGCTGTAGCATCGACCTACCACCAGGTTATGAGATTTCCCTCGACTATGGGGGAAGTTGAGGAAATTTTGGCAATCAAGTCATGTCGAAGCAATGCTTCGTGGCAGTGAACGGGAACTGAGCTGCCAAAGGCTTCTTCCAAATGATTGAAGGTCCGGAAGACCAGGGTGTCCTTGAAGATGTGGGCGCCAAGGCCGAGGACAAGGTTGTTGAAGAATTGGTGGAAGTGCGGATCAACACCGAAAGTCCAAACAAATTCTTTTTGCTGGGGTTAAGCATGACCGCCCAAGAAAGGACCGAGATGGTAGATTTCTTGATGGCGAATAACAAAGTCTTCGCCTGGACGCCGTATGACATGCCCGGCGTTGACTCAAGCTTTATTTGCCACCAACTCAATGTCTTCCTGGACGCACACCCTGTCATTCAAAGAACAAGGAGATCGACCTTTCATCATGCCGAGGTACTCACGGAGGAGGTAAGGAACCTGTTAGAAGCACGGGCTATCCAGGAAGTGCACTACCCTCGGTGGATTTCAAACACGGTCGTAGTACCCAAAAAGAATGGGAAGTGGCGAGTTTACGTTAACTACAAGACCGTCAACCGAGCTTGCCCTAAAGACAGCTTTCCTCTGCCCAGAATAGACCAGTTGGTGGATCTAACGGCCGGGCATAACAGGCTCAGTTTCTTGGATGCCTACCGCGGTTATCATCAGATCGCCATGCATGGCCCCGACCGCGAGATAACCTCTTTCACCACTCCAAGAGGACTCTTCTGCTATCGAGTCATGCCTTTTGGTTTGAAGAACGCCGAGGCAACTTTCCAAAGAATAGTGACCAAAATATTCGCTCCTCTGCTAGGCCGGACGATGGAGGCTTATATCGATGACATGGTGGTCAAAAGCAGGCATCAGGCAGACCACTTGTCCGACCTAGCCAGGATGTTTGCCATTCTCAAACAGCACAAGCTACGCCTGAATGCGTCAAAGTGTGCCTTAGGCGTGGGATCCGGGAAATTCCTAGGCTTCCTAGTAACAAACCGAGGCATCGAGGTGGACCCCACACAAATCAAAGCCATACAAGAATTGAAGCAGACCAACTCGGCGAAGGATATGCAGCATCTGGCCAGAATGGCCGCCGCGCTTAATCGATTCATAAGTCGGTCATCAAATCGCTGCCGCCCTTTCTTTCGAGCCTTGAAATCCAAGTTTTCATAGGACGATGAATGTGACAGGGCTTTGACCGAGCTCAAGGCGTATTTGTCTTCTGCTTCACTATTGGTGACACCCAATGTAACGCCCTCAAAATAATAACATTAAACCCATCAAATAAGACATGCATTGACATATGAACTAGCCACATTCTTATATTCCTTAGAGTTCCATTACATAAGTATTACATGTTAACATCATAACAAAATGCCCTACGGGCTTATAGCTTTCCAAGTTATCACTTGGTTACAACAAAAGAGTACTAACTCGTTTACACATTAAGCCCTTGGCTTGAAGTTACATGTAATACATCAAAAGTTAAGCAACAAAAGGGACCGGAAGGCTAGGGAGTCCTTGAAGATGTGGGCACCAAGGCTGAGGATAAGGCTGTGGAAGAGTTAGTGGAACTGCGGATCGACACCGAAAGTCCAAACAAATTCTTTTTGCTAGGGTTAAGCCTTACCACCCAAGAAAGAACCGAGAT